GAACAAAAAGATACCTAAGTTGACTTCTGCCAAACCCGTCGGACGATAAATAGCGTGTTCCTGCTTTCATATTCTTGACAAGTGCCAATTAACAGTTCATCATTTTTATAAGGATATATGCAAGATCAATCTTCTGATTATTCTCTTAATTTATGCAATCTATTACGAACCTTGCCAGTGGATACATTTTTCTTATAGATATGACCCATTGCCAATGTGACATGCATAATTTTTTTTATTTTATTTTTATTTTTTTTCTAAAAGGGGGAGAACAACATAATAATTGATTTTGAGGTGAACTACATTAAACCCCCTTTTTCTATCTGTATTTTTTACTAAACCCTTCTTTCTTATTTTTTTGTCAAAAAAACTTCCATATCTGTATTTTTCACCGAACTCTTCTTTTCTATGTTTTTTTGTCAAAAAAACTTCCATCAACTATTAGAAGGGAGTGATTTAACTAACTTCCATTAACTAACTATTAGGGGAGGGTGATTTAATTCTCAAATATATATATATATATATATATATATATATATATATATTTGAGAATTAAATCACCCTCCCCTAATAGTTAGTTATATATAAAACAAACAAATTAGGCATTATTTCTGTTAATGCCCCTTCAATAAACCTATATAAAATGAAAATCAATAGAAACCAAATAAACTAATGCACAATATAATTCTCAAATATATATATAGCAAATAAATTTTAAGAAAAAAAAACCTAGATTTTTTTCCTAAATAAAAAAATGAAAAAACCTAGATTTATATTGGTTAAAAGGCTAGATGGAAATGAAAATATATTTAAATAATATTTAATGATACATATTATATATACCATTATATTATGATATAAATTATATATAATATTATAATGATGGATAAATAAAAGAAGTTAAACAAAAAGAATAGTACATGTTGTTGCAATGGTTTTTTTTTTTTTTTTTTTTTTCCAATATAAATCTAGGTTTTTTTTTCCCTGAAATTTATTTGCTATATATATATTTTTGAGAATTATATTATGCATTCATTTATTTGGTTTTTATTGATTTTCATTTTATATAGATTTATTAAAAAGACAAATAATGCCTAATTTTTTTTTTTTTTTTTTGTTGCCAATATAAATCTAGGTTTTTTTTTTTTTTTTTTTTCCTTGAAATTTATTTGCTATATATATATTTGAGAATTAAATCACCCTCTCTAATAATTAGCTAACGGAAGTTCGTTAAATCACTCCCTCTAATAATTGAGGGAGTTTTTTGACAAAAAAATAGAAAAGGAAGATTTAGTGAAAAATACAGATAAAAAAAAGAGTTTAATGTAGTTCACCCTTGATTTTATGGCTGAAATAGAAATTTGAGTACGTATCAATGGTACACATTTTTATATTGACTAGTTTCTACTATTTAAACAAGATTGTAGCAGTAAATAGTGAAAAAATTACAGAAATAAATATTCGTACTATTGAATTTATTTCTATCATGCTATTGGATCTCATAAAATACTGCTAATTCTAATCTGCTCATTTCATTTAAGATGCAAAATTGGAATCCTTTTCATTTTTTCTTCAATCATTGATAAGAACTCAGAAATCAAGTTTTACTTAAATTATTTAATCATTTTGACTGACTGTTTTTACTCAAATGATGAGTAAAATAGTGGCAAAAAATTGAAAAACTAATTTGATATTTCTATATGTTTCTGCATTGTAACGTTTGATACTGTAACAACTAACTATGAACAGTATATATATATAAAAAAAAAAAAAATCTTCAATTACATTTTTAAACTAACTTTTATATTTTTTAAACTTGCAACACTTTTTTACAAAACATATTTTTATAATTTTGCTTTCAAAATCTTGCAACAAATGAATGTTGCCAAACATGCTTTTGATTAATATTCGTAACAAAACACTTATTTTGTCTAAAGTTAAAACAAAATGTCAGAAACAAATGCATGCCAAACATGTCCTTATCAACGAAATTTGAGTTATGTCAAACTAAGTTAAATTTTATATTTTATGAATGTGTGCATTTCGTGGTTGAATATTCAAGTGGCCCCCTATTTGAATTGGTATTTTTATGCTTGATAGCGGGAGCTAAACAAAATGGAATAGGAAATTCACATAATATAATTGGATTGGAAGTATATAATTCTCTTTTTAATTAGAGTGGCATGGCTGTCCAATGCACTTGTTACTCATTCAACTGTAGAGAGAGATTTCTAATCACTTTGGAGGATACGAAGAAAGTCTTGTTGGACCTTATGGGCCCAAAAGAATTTAGTTTTTTATCAAGGATCTGCTATTTTGAATAGCCCATAGGCTTTGCTCCGTAACAAGATCGTAACCGAAGCCTAGCCCAAGGTATTAGATAGACCTTAGGGCCTGAGCTTTCTGGCCCAATTACAGTATAAAGGGAAACTATCCAGGTACCGCACTCAAGGACAGAGGCACAGAGCAGAATGGGGCCGGGTGGTGGTGGGGTGGGGCCCGTGTGTGCAGCTGCTCCCTTCATGTCCATGTTGGCCCATTATTATAAATTTATTTATTTATTTATTTATTTTATCTTTTTTTTTTTTTTTTTTTTTAATGCATATAGCTTATAAAGTAACATCAAAAAAAATCCTCCTAACATTAGTTTTTTTTTTCAATCAAAACCCTAATTTTTTCCCGACAAACAAATTCCTGACACAGTCAGTCCTTGGCCATATTGTTTATTTTTTCCTATTTCTGTATGGTGTGCACCAAATCACAATGTTTTAATATGATTTATCAAACAATGAAATAAATTCATTCATTTCATAGAATGTAATACCATGTTGCACAAAATACGCTCAACCTCTGAACAAAATAATATACCAATGACCTCCTTTGACATGTTTCTGTTTGTGTGGTTGTTCGCAAATCATAAAGAATGGTGTTAATTGAGATGGAAGGTGAACACTTTTGCCAACACATAAGGAAACTGTTTTTATTCACATCTTGAACTATAAATGCATTTTACTACAAGAATTTTATACTTTGAGAAACAAACATTGTATAAAGTGTAGAAATGCATTATAGATAACAAGTACAAGTGGCTCTTCACAAAACTATGAAAGACTAAACCAGGGCAATGGTAACAGTCACGAATTAAAAGGATTGGGTACCTGTACTTGTGTCCTGATCCTCCGCTGTAGCGAATCCCTGTTCCAGAGATTTTATTTTTAGTACACTTAATAGTATTTTTTTCACAATTCTTCTTAGCATAAATTTGTATACCTTATCTTTTGTCAACGAACAATACTTGCCTACTCACCAGTAAGCAGGAATTTCATCTTTTCCACCGATGTGGCCTGTGATAAAATAATATTTTTTCATTTTGAATTTAAAATATGGAATAATACTTAAGTCTTCACTGGTGAGATGTCCACAACCTTTTTTTATTATCAAATAAGATATGATGAATGTACCATTTTTCTAATTTGGTAAGTGAATATGTATCCACTCATTTGATAATTAAACATGAAATATCTATTTATTTTTAAAGGTGAGAAAATAAGTATTGTCCTAAAATGTGTAAAGAAGAAAATAAAATATTTATTTTTTTAAATTTAATATTGACACGTATCATTCTATAATTGTAACACATCGAGATGAAATTCTTACTCATCCTTAGTTGCTGAAATGTAGGTGTGGAAGAGACTTCAAATCCATTACCTCATGTCAAGGGAAACCAAACAGAACCACTTGTTCACCCCATCATGCTTTTGATCCATTAATGTACCTAAAGCTTTTGTATTTCATTATTTACTATAGTTTGAATATCGAGCAATGTCATTAAGGCCGACAGGGTTGGTGATACCATAATCTTCTCATTGCCTATTGAATTCATAAAAGTTTTTATATGAATTGATGCTTCATAAATGAATCTTCATTTTTTTTTAATAAAAATTGCTAGTATTTGGTTTATTAATTTAACTTCATAATCATTTTTATATCAATAAGATGAAGATCACCAAATTGTATTAAAAGAGAAAGAATCAACCCATTGAATTGTTTTCTTGGGAAAGGATGAGGAATGGAGGGCACGTTTCCTACCATTTTTTTTGTTTTTGTTTTTGTTTTGAAACAATTCCAAATGACTCACTTAAGCAAACCTTGTAGAATTTATCAAACTTGACTCACTTCTCTCTTGAATCAATCACAAGCAAACCTTGTGGAATTTATTAATAAATGAACTTAAAAAGAAATATAATTTTTATTTATTTATTTATTATTATTATTATATATATAATTTGGTTTCCTAACCAACCTAAGAACTGAGATGCAACAACTTGATTCATTTTACCCACATATAAAATGTTGTCATACATTCACTTTTTTTGCATTAATCCTCAAATGCATAGCCTCTTATATAAGTTATATGTTTACTCTGGAAAAAATTTTCGTGTATATGGAACGTGGACTGCATGTTGTTCGACGATGAATTATGAGAGTATTCTAAGAAACCCGATACCAATATACCATCATCCCTAACAAAATAAATAAATAAATAATACTTTTACTGTGGGTCTAGGGTCCGAAATAATTTTCAGTAACACGGAATCTGTTTCCCTCCAAAAACATCCTCAGAAGCTCCGAAATATGCGGCGTGAATAACGCCATAGTAATGATTTTGTAGCTAAAAGCCTAAAACTGATTGGCTGTTCATTAAATATATCATTGTTCTCTCCATCTAACAAATACTACTTTGATGTCTCATTACTTTAGTCCACAAACGGTCCTATTTAATACTCCTTTTCCTCTCTCTCTGCATCTCATTCTTCTTATAAACCAAAATCATCAAAGAGAGAGCAAAAAAAGGGTTATGCAATTTCTCAAGTTCGTTGGTCTCAATATAGGAGGTAACTTATGATGCATACAAAACTTATTACTCTTTAATTTTATTCTTTTTTTTTTTTTTTTTTTTCGGAAATTAATTTTATTCTATTTTATTACAACTTTTAATAGCCCTTTCTTAATGGGTAAGCTTGAATTCTCAAGTAAGCAAACTCTTTGATTCTTTTCAGTTACCCGTTTTTTTCTTTTCATAAAGTGTTGTTGGTTTTGGATACTTTGGATTTGTGCTCATTTTGGGTATATCTTTATTTTTACAATCTCTACCTTCCATTTCAAGCCAGTCTTTTTCTATGCAAAAATGCCAATTAAAAGCCTTTCAACTACCCAATAATGTCTCTATATATCTCAATTACAGCCTCACTGATTTCAATTGGGTTGCTGGATGTTACATCTTCCATTAATAGAAGGAAATAAATGAGTGAATTTAATGGTTAGAAGATATTCTTTTTCATGCCCTTTCTCTGTTCCATCGCCCTTTTGTAAAGGGAGGATTAATAGTGAAAGGTACTTCACTCCAATGATTTTGATCAACCTTCTTGGTGACAGAAATGGATTCTGAAACATCAAATGTGATTAGGAAGAGATGCTTTTCCATTCTTTTCCTTTCCTCCTCCTCATTTCTTTGCTGGTATATATAATTTGCTAGTTTCAATGTTTTGATATATGGTGTTGAGTATCTCTTGTGTGTTGCAGGCAAGTATGAAGAAATCTCCAATATACCCAAAGTATGAGGCTGGGGATTACAATGACTATGGTTTTGATCCCCAGGTGGATTTTTCACAGGTACATAAAATAGTTTTTAGTTTTTATACATGTAGTTTTTCTTTAAATTTTGCAATTCTGATTTTAATCTTCTTTTGAAAAGAGTATACCATGTTGAGTTCTTGGTCAGTAGAGCAGATCTTGTCAATTTTGATTGACCCAACTCTTATTTTTTTTCTGAACTTTATAACCCTTTGCATCATCTGATATATACATGTTTTTGAATAAATTATTTAGTATCTCTTTGGTGTTTAGTTATAAATCAGTGTCACAGCTTTATTTTCTTTGTACTATGCCTATTTTTAAAAATTCTGTTAAACTATTCCAATTTGAACACTTTAAATTGATGCCTAAGTTATCATGTTATGTTAGTTGTGCTAGTCTAGCATTGTAACTTCATTAAGCTTGTATTAATTTTCTATCGATCAGTTCTTGGAAGAAGCAAGAAAACACACAAGCAAAGAGAATTTTGAGGCTGCACCACCACCATGTTTAGGAGGAGCTGGAAAGAAACATTTGGGTGAAGCGAAAACGAAGAAGAAATCGTGGAAAGAGTCCCTGTTTTCATGGTGGAAAGATGACAAGAAGAGCAATTCCAGTGTGGAGCCTCCAACTATTCCTCACACAGCCAAGTCAAAACGCGGTAATGCCTCCGGTCCTATATATGGGAGTGGTGGTGGAGCCAGCTGCAAGCCCCGACGCCCAACATCCGGGCCCCTCACCAGGTTTTTCCACCCCACAAGGAGAGTGGAGAATGAGATGCCCTATATTTGTCTTGGCCAGCTTAACAACACTCATGATGTTCAGTCCTATGGACCTGTTTACTTGGTAACATGATAGTAGTCAACAATGGAAAGTAGTTGACAGAGGGCTTGGAAATGGCTGTTTCTTTGTTCAATACTACCGTGCACTCTGGTTAATTGGAGATTTGCAAGAATATAGGTATTAGGAAAGTGCAAGTCTGGTTTTTCTTGAACAATAGAAAGATATTTGAAAGTAAGACTAATGAGCCAACTTAATTTGAAGTGCTTCGGTTTTACTGTTTTTAATTGAATTGTCTAAGTATCATCGAGTCTTGAATGAATTTCTGAGCATTTTCTGCTGGTGTGTGCATTATTGCCCGAGCTCGAACACTAATACTCGACGTCTCTCTCCTTTGGAGGGAGAGATCATATCATCTGAGCTAATGTCCATTGGTTACTATTTTGTTACATTGCCAAGAAGTGTAAACATGTTGAATTAACAGTCATTCCAAGCCCCATTTAATTTTTGAATTTTCAAATTCCCTTCATTTTCATATGGCTTCTCAGCAAAAAAAAAGAGCATATGCAAAGATAAAACAAGAATCAGAATAAAAAACCCAGCCAAGGCTGGATCAAGCAAGCTATCAAATATTAAAAGGGTTATATTATTTTAAAATGGATCATTTTTATAATCTTAGTGTGTCTGTTACAGTTTGATCACCTACTCTTTGATGGTTACCAACTCAAGTATCAACATCTTGCATAGGTAGCAAAATTTTATAGCATAAGCAACCCAGAAAAAGACAACCTTTCTCAAAATACAGATCAAATAAACCTAGTGTGTCTGCTACAGTTTGATCACCTACTACAAGGTTTCCAACTCAAACAAGTATCAAGATCCTCAATAGGTAGTGTGATGTTGTGGTCTGAATTTGGTGTCGGGTCGCGTTGGCTTGAAATTTTTTTAACTCGATTTTGTTCTTAGGTCATGGACCCTAATTAGTTTCTCGTACTCTCTCGTACTCTGATATATAAGGGCGCTAAGGGTTTGGAGTGATGTAAGAGAGAAATTCTAAAATTCGTGCAGAAATAGAGTGAGGGATTGAAAACCTGTAATTTCCAATTTTACGTATAGTGAAGGCTTTTGCCAAATCCCAACCGTGAACGTAGATTACTGTCAAATCACGTATAAATATTTATATTCTTTGTGTTAAGTGTTTACTTTTATGTGGAAGATTTTATTTTGGATTCGTTACGTTTGTGGATAGCAAAATTTATAGCCAAGAAAAAGACAACCATAAAGAAAATACAGATCAAATGAACTTGACAATCAGTGGAAGTGATTTTTTTATAATATTGCATTTGGGAGCACAGAATCACCTTGAAATTGAAATTGAAAAAGAAAAAAATTTAGTTCAATTTTAAGACTAAGCCGGACTTCAACACAAATATACGCCTGCAGCCGCAAGCATTCTATGTAATTTGTAAGCTCATGTCTTTCGGGTATTGAACTGGTATTATTAACAGAAAGACACATTCAATCTCATATTCAATAGACATCAAGTCCACAACAATCAAATTTAACTAAATCTATTGGATTAATAGCTATGCAATACATGAACCCAACATCGAACAATGGATGTGAGGGCTGCAAAATACATCTTCTGTGAGAGAAGAGGACTAATTGGTCCACCTTCTCAAACAGAGAAGCCTGCTACATTTACATACAATATATTCATTACAAACAGTTGCAGAAGCTCATTTCAAGAGCAAAGAAACAAACTTCATGCCTAGATATCAAGCACTGACTCTGCACCATTCGGTGTCAAGAATAAAAGAAGATTTAACAAATACATGGGAGCTACCATTTTCTCCCCCAATACCACCAATACTCCAAGCCTCAGACATTTGTGGAATTCGACATCAAAATCAATTATAGATCAATTGGGATGTCATCTCCTCACTCAAATCAATGTGCATCATATATGTGTGTGTGATAGTGTGTGTTTGTGTGTGCTGAATTTGGACTCAGCCCACCTGTTCCACATCCACGTTACTGGGACTACAAGGGAGCACTTTTCTATCTCTGCTCAAAAGCCTCTTCAATGACCTCAACCGTGTCATCGCCGGCGACTTTGGCTCTTCCTCTTCATTCATCTGCCTAGGTATATCTATGACCAACATTCCATTTCCATTTGAGTTACCAATTGTTGTAGCTGACGACGAAGAAGAAGAAGAACAGGGGATTTGAGAAGAAGCAGGACATTGACGATCATCTTCTTCCAAACAAGAAGCCAAAGTACTAACTTGATTCTGATTCCCCCAAAACAACACATTTGTTGGGAAATTTGGGGACTCTGTTGAATACCCATTAACAGACGAGCTCTCTTCTGTCGTCTCTAATGGTGATTCAGGAGTGTTGATGTTTTGGTTCGAAACAGGGTTTCGACAAAGAGGGCAAGTGGAATGGGATTGAAACCACATGTCAATGCACTCCACATGGAAGCCATGGTTGCATTTCGGAAGCAGACGAGCTTTCTCTCCTTCCGAGACGTCGGAGAGACAAACTGCACATTCCAATCCGTCTTTGAAAGATTTGGGATTGAATTCTAATATCGGTATTGATTTGAGAACTGAGGGATCGAGACCGCAACGGAGGGCCGCGGTGGCGGTTGATTCTACATGGCCGGGGGCGAAGTCGAAGCGGCGCCGGCGCCGTCGGGTGGGGTGGCCGTTAGCGGCCGCGTCTTGTTGGCGACGGTACCAGAACCATTTGGCATAGAGATGAAGAAAGAAGACGAAGACCACCACCAAGAAGAGGACTATTATAGCTACCACCATGATCTTTCCGGTGAGCTCAATCGCCGACATGTCGTCCAATTTCTGGTTTAGCTCCGATGAGTCCCGGTCCCCCATTTTTAGATTCTCGTTCTGGGTCTGATTCTACCAGAATTTCACCAAAAAAAGAAGAAAAAACCAAGCTTTCAATTATTCAGTTTCGAGGAAAATATGATGATTTAAAGCAAACCCAGTTGGAATTTTCCAGGAAAATCTGGAGATTCAAAGCAAACCCAGTAAGAATTTTCCGTCGTAATCTCTCACTCACCAAAAAGGTAAAAAACGAGAAATATTCAGCTTTCAATTGTTGAATATCTAGGAGAATTCTCGAGATTCAAAGCAAACCCAGTTAGAATTTTCCCCGGTAATCTCGAGAAACAAAAAGGAAAGATTGAAAGAGGGAAACGGAGATGGATTTGGGTTGGGAGTTTGAATAAGTGAAAAAGAAAATGAAGATGTTATGCCCTTTTAAGAAAATGTTGAGAGGTGAAGATGATAATTTAGAAATTGAAGAACTCTAATTGGGAAGAAAAGGAGGACAATCTTTGGGTCTACTCTAGAGAGAGTGAAAGTGACGGAGCAGTCAATCAACCAGAGAGAGAGAAGTCACAATACGACTCCGCAGAGGCTGCATTTTGACCATTGTTATGCCATTTGCACCCAAATTTGAAGGGTAATATTAGATTAAATTCACATTTCTTTCGTTTACTCCTTTTAAAATTGAATTAATAATAAATAATTAGAGATGAGGGTGTTTTTTTTAAATAACAAAACTAACCATGGCAGATGGTTGTCACGTGCTCAATAAGGGACACTTTCGCCGTAAAATTTGATTTGCAAGAGCATATGTAACTATCGTGTGCACATTTAATGTTAAAAAATCGAGCAATATGATAAAGTATTAAAATGTAAGGGTTTTTTTTAAAAAATTCAGTGGGGAGTTTTATATTTTAACCCAATAATTAATGAATGAACAACACTTATTTCAGAATATGTGAGAAGGTGAAATGTATGGAATTTTATTTCAACAGTCTATTTTTGTCTTTCTTTCATCTCCAACTTTTTTTTTTCTCTTTTTTTTTTTATGTACTTTTATTTCAATTCTAATTCTTTGTGTTTTATTAATTTCTTCTCAAAGAATAAAAAAAGGGAAAAGAGAGAACTACTCCATACTACACTTGACAATTGATATACGGAGTATTTCATTAATTACTTCGATTATTGATATTCATTGTTCAACAAAGACTCTTAGTTAGCTTAATGAAAAAGACATGTCCGTTTCTTTTAAAATATTTTAAATCAACAATGTACACATTAATAGTAAATTATACTTATTGGTATATATATTGTTGATTTAAACACTTTAAAGTAAAGAAATATGTTATTATCAATCACTAATTAAAATTAAAATTGATCATCAAGTATAACTGATAAATCCACCTCTTCAAATGAGAGATAGGGATTTAAGTCTCAGTGGGGGTATAAGTGTATAAGTTTGCTTAATCTTTCGAAAAATATATATATAATAATAAATAAATAAATAAAAATATATAGTTGTACTAGGAAAGAAAACTTAAATTTTTTGAATTTCTTGCACCAAAAGAATTAGAAAAACCTAAATAATTGTAATAATTTTACCACTAGGATATTTGAATTGTTAACTTCTTGCTAACTCAGATAATAGATTTAGTGCATTAATGATCTTTTAATCAAACTGATAGGGTTTACCTTCAATAATGCAATAACTCATAGAGATCAACTGCTCAAAACATGGATTTGGATTAGACTTATTCTATCAATGCTTTTATTATTATTATCATTATTATTATTTTTTTTGTGTTAAGTTTAAAAGATAGGATTACAAGATTTCACTACCTAAGTTATTGGTATTTCTCTACTTTTTTAAAGTGAAAGTATGATTATTTAAGTTCCAATTAGAAAAAACTGAGTATTGTTACTTGTCACAACGATAAAAATAATAGTGATACTTGAACACTCGTAGTGAATTACTTAATTAAATAATTTTTAATTAATTATTTATACTAAATATAACTAAATGGAAGGTTTCACTTCTTTAATAAAAAAATATATAATTTTTTTTTTTTTATATTAAAAAAGACTATTCAACTGTTTTATAATACTTTAAACCTATTTTCTCATAAAAGGTTTGAGTTGTAGTAATTTGAAACAAAATATTGCATCTTAACAAAGTCCTCTAATTATATAGTTGACGTAATGAAGTTGTGAATCAAGTCAAAGTAGCCCGGAGACCATATCAGCACAGACTTCTATTTCAACTTCAGGAAAAAATAATAATAATAAGAATAATAATAATAATAAATAAATTTAAAGATTATAATTTAATGATATACGAAATATTTTTTTTATCTTTCAAAGTAAAAAGAAACAAAATTGTGAATAATGAAAAAAAAATCTCTAAAAAACAGTTTTTGAGGGTGCATTGTAATCCTCCCACGGACCACTCCTTTAATGTAGGCGTTAATTTTGAGTAAAAATCACATCAACAAAGTCATAGAAAATAGAAAAATTCCCGTGGAGCCCACTAACACTAGTCGGATCCTCCATGGTTTAACTGAATTTAATAAGAAAAAGATTAGTGGGTGCATGGTTTCATAATCCACCACTCTTCCCATAATATCTGCACTAATTAAAATATTCACAATGAGTGTATTATGCAGCTGGTTTTTTTTAGAGATTTGAATTTTTAATTTTTTTATTATTATTAAAAAAATAAAATAATTATTTTAGACTTTTCAAAATGAAAAAATAAAAAGTTGTGATTCTCTTAAAATCTTACAATGCATGAATCTCGATCGATAAATTTCGCCACTATCAATGTTGAATGTCACAGGAGAAATAGATTTTGATTCCAATTAATAACAAATAGGTTCACTGTGAACCAGTGGCTTTGTTGTCCCTTTTCCTTTTTCCTTTGTCTTTATTGACATCAGTCAGTCGGAGGTACACTGAGCTTTGTACACCGAAAGAAATATGTTTTACCGGAAACTGCGGTTCGGCCCCAAATTAAGCCAAAAGTCAAGAGTAGTTATTCCGAAATTTCTGCTTATGTTAGACAAAATGATGGATCTAAGATGTGTATTTTACTCCTAATTATGACAATAATTTATGCTACTCTTCAGAATCTTGTGATCATATCACTATATACATATATATTATATATATATTGGTTCATTAACTTTTATATATGTAGATAGTAGTGTAGGGTGAATTAGATATTGAAGGGAAAGGTTCTAGTTTGAAAATTGAGGCTGGTTTTGGTGGGGGATTCAATGATATAGTGCAGTCAACCATCATTACTTTTGATGCATGCCTCCCATAAGCAATGAATTAACCTTGCAAGGACACAAGACATACATCATGCGACTCTATTATATTCATTATTGGACCTATTTCTCATGCTTTTATGGTATTGGCATCCATCTTTAATATTGCTGCATATATATACCACAATTTTATCTTATAATTGTGAACCAACCAAACTTGCCCAACAAGGATTCAATTTGGTTCAAATGTTTGAGTTACCTCATATCTTTGAAGAAGTCATGCATGATTTATTGAGTGCATAGTTGGTCGTATTGACTGATTAGGAGTAAAATATGTAACTTATTGATTGGTTCATAACTATTGTTAAAGGGTCTGACATTGTTACACACCTTCATGAATAGATCAGTTTACACCGATATTTGTCTAAATCTGTTACACTGTGACCGCTAACGATATCGGACTATGAATTATAATTGAGTGTGATAATTATGTAATTTTATAGTATTAAATACAAATGGAGAGAGTCTTGAACTCATAAAGTTTGTTATTTTGGATTTTACCAACCAGAGCACTTAAATTACCAAACTATTCTACCAATCCTAATTTGTAAACTGAAACGGATCACCACCCTTTGGTTGATTGCAAGTTAAGATTTTGATTGAAATTTAATAGGCTAAATAGGCACACTTAACATGGCCATTGATTGATTTACCCAAAATCAAATCCTATATATTTTAGGAAATAAAGTGTTGTCGACATTAATTGTTACATTATTTTACTTTTTCCGTCCCAAATTAAGTATTGTATTTGGGAACTCTGACTCATTCTTCGTCCCAAATTAAGTGTCGCTGGGGACTGCGACCCATGATGACACTTAATTTGGAACGGAGGGAGTAGTACATAAAATTTAAGTTAAACAATCGTTTTCAACAAGCGTCACTCTCACGTTCAAATTCTCACTATTTATGACTTAATTTTACCGCTCTCACACTCCCACTCTCGAATTCGCTCTTATTCTCGCTTTATATGACTTGGCATAGAACTATTTCAATTGAACCAATCCAAAATTGGCCTGCCTTCTAATGCATAGCACAGACCTGGCTGAGCTCTCACTATGACATTCTGGGGGTAGGAACTAGAATTGGGTTGATTTCGGGATAAGCTTGACCTATATTTTATTTTATTTCATTTATTAGTTTAGGTAAATATGATGCATGAAATTTCTAAAATATTTCATCATTAAATTACATAACCCCAAGTTCAAATCTCTTCCAACCACAAACATTGCTACACAATGGTGGGCTGTACACCCAAAATGATACTACAGCTTTGATCACTCATTAATCATCTCCAAGAAGGGGGACAAAAAAGGCGCCCATATATACATTGTATCTGTTATATATAAACTAATTTAGACTCTTGGATGACCTTGGGTACATGAAAAGCAATATTAAATATTATTGAAATAAATTGAATTTCATGTATCTAATTGTTTGCTGAGAATATATAACCGCATTTGAGAACAATCACTTGCTAACGAGTAGTTGACAGACTTAAAAACTACTATAATATTCATACAAACGAATATATATCATATATTTAGTACATTACAAAAGAAGATAATTATCCTTAATTTCTTCCTAGAAAGGGTGATAAAAAATTACATCAACAAAAGTAATTAGAATTCTCACATAGGGCAGACGTAAGCTCAAAGTTGAGAGGACTCTGCATCCATTGACATACATGATCAAAAGTAGAGAGCAAACAAGAAACCAGACCATCATAAACATGTCCATTGTTTCTACGGTGCCTTGAGAGAGTGTTGACCGGACTTCTACATAGAGGACATGTCGAATGGGCTTGCAACCAGGCATCTATGCAGTGGACGTGGAAGCCGTGGTGGCACTCCGGGAGGATCCGGTACTTCTCGCCGCCAGAGACTTGACAGAGGCACACTACGCATTCGAGTTCCAGGCTGTCATTGTCCGCCTCTCTCTCTCCTTCCACCGCCTCTGTAACTGTGGTGTCGCAGTGGTAGTGGTGGTGGAACATTGCGACTAAAAGTGACCACAAGTACTCCTTGGCATGTAGATGAAGCAAGGACGTAATGGGTATGGCTGCAAATACAATAATAGCAATGGTCCTTCCATCTATTGAGGCAGCTAATTCTTCATTGAAATCTACTAGTTTCTCCATCTTAACTTATGGTTTCTTGATAATTCTCTCACTCTATATATATAGATTATATTGAGCAATATATGGTGAGCGAAATGGTTTGAATACCAATTCGACTTCAAGCAATGAAAGATCACTCAAAAAATGGG